ATCTTGTTCTGACTTTAATCATTCTGTCTGCAGATGAACAGCATGTCAGGAAAATCTAGGTCATTAAAGGATGTCATGAATTACTGGTTTAAACATAAAAGTATTAGTTTCATTACATCACCTTATTACCATGTAATTACGTGGTAATTAGTGTACAATTTTACTATGTATTTAATTGTCTGCAGTAAAGTAGCACTTACCTGGTAATATATTACAATTCACTATGTAACACCTAAATAAGTAGTAGGTAATTTGGACAGTTTTAAAGTTATGTTTTATTACAATTAACCACTAACCCCAAAATTCAGCTACATTCTTTTGGTTATAAATATAGTGTTGAGTTACTATTGAATAGTAATTTGATTGTTGTTATCCAACAAAGGTAGTTTTACTAACAGTAGTTTTTCTTTTGTACCCTAATTACCATGTAATTACATGGTAATTAGGTAGTAATTACCATTTAATTACATTTTTTACATTGTAATTACACGGTAATAAGGGTACCGTAAAAGAAAGTGTTACCAAGAAAATCTGTCAGACCTGCTACAGCCGAGGAATGAACGTTGTTAAAGTTGTGTCTCCTGTGGGTTGTATACAGACACAGAAATAAAAATCTAAATCATATTCATCTCTCTCAAGTCCTGATTCTGTTTTCCTTTGATCAAACATTTTAATTCAAGTGTAAACATCTGTGTTAAATAATTTTCATTTATTCAGAAGAAGAGCCACAGCCTGTAGTGGATCACACGTCAGTGTTGTTCTCCTACATCACTCGTACACACAACTGAAGAACAAACCTGTTGGTACCAATGGTTCCTGCATGAGCCTCATCGTATAATATTTTTGGTCGTATGACCCAGCAGTGGGTAAACATCTGGACTTTGGTTGGTTTTGTTCCAGAGGTCTTGTGATTCATTCAGATGAAAGTTTACAGAGAAAAGAGGATTTGTCCTGAAACCCTTCTAACCTTCCCCACATTAACCAACATCAGTAGTTTCTTCTGTCACTGCTAACGTCTGTCTGTTGAGTTAACACACCTGTGTGATGCAGAGCACTGACAGGTTGTGTTTCTACAGGTGTGCTCTCTGATGATGATCCTGAACCTCAGAAACTTGTAGAGCAGCACTCTCAGCTTTAACATTCAGTTTATGATTATTACCACTGCAATCTGTTGTGTGTTCATGTTCAGTTTAAGTTAAATTTAAATTATTTTAGAACCTGCTGAAGACCTGACCAGTTTGAATATGATGTCCTTCTTTCCTCCGACTGTTGATGTGGAGCTGACCTGAGCTGCCAGCAGAGGGCGCTGTGGGCTTACACTTCAAAATGTCAGAATCAACTGGTGTTAGCAGAAACACACACACACACACACACACACACATATTCCTTTCCTTTTTGTAATATTTTTCAAAGGTAAATTTATCAAAGAATTTTTCACCATTAAAACAAAGATTGTGAAACCTTCATTGTTTAGTTTATTTTCAGTCCATTTTTTTTATTAATCTCTTTCTTTAATCTGTTTTATTTTGAATAGAATGACTCCATAAATCAGATTTTAGTGTGAAGTACTTTTTTTAACCTTTACAAACTAAGCTTGTTTTTATAAGAACATAACCACAAAGTATTTAAAATAAATGTTCAGCCTTTGGACTCAGTGGTGATGTCTTCCTGGACTGGGTGTGTTAGTTTGTATCTTGTTAAACTGTTTGCTGTAATCTCAGGTCAGATCTGTTGTTTCTTTTACAATCAGCTCTTATCTCCTGCAGATTCCTGACTTATCAGATTGTGCTTCATGTTGTTGCTCTTGTTTCAGACCACCTGTCCTGAAATGCTCTTGCTTTATGATAAATGGTAATGATCGTCTCACCAGGGCATCCTCTATCTCTGCTGTCCCCAGCCGGTGACCGCTGACATTGATGACATCGTCCATCCTTCCTGTGATCTGGTAGAAGCCGTCCTCTGAGCGGAACGCACCGTCTCCAGTGAAATAAAACCCTGTGGAGAACCACTGAGCTGACAGGCTGGCTGTTTCAGCACCATGTTGTGTTGTGAAGGCTTACTGACCAGGATACAGTGTGAAGTACGAGGCCTTGAACCTCTGGTGGTCCCCGTAGATGCTGCGAGCCATCCCAGGCCATGGCTGACGGATGCACAGAGCTCCACTGCAGGAGGTACCAGCCAGAACCTCCCCCTGAAACAGGAAGTCAGGAGTCAGACCCTCCAGACTCGCTCCAGATAGTACCCATCAGCTGAGGACCAGATCGTCAGCCCTGCACCACCGTGCTGACCGTTTATTTCAACATTGATCCTCATCAGTGTTCTAACATCACTGAAGTGTTGAACATGTTGTGTTTTCTCCTCCAGAGGAAAACTGGTCCTGTTAAAGGGTCAATATTATGTGTTCCTCAGGCATATATTTAAATACTATTCATTAATAAAGTATCTATGTCACCTTTAGCTGTTATTAAAATGCTGTTTTTATGTTTAAATAGAAAATAAACTTATCTTCTCATCACTTCCTCTTCTAAACACCTTGAAATTGACCTCTGTCTCTTTAAGAACCTCCTCCTGCTTCTGTTCAGCCCATTTTGGTG